AGTATATGACTTCAAGAATAACCTTCGACCTTCTTCTTGCATCCTTGCTGAATCTATTCTTGTGCTGCTTTGCCTGCACACATTCCTCACATACCTCGTTTGGAATGTCGATTTCTAGCAATCCTGAAACCATATTTCTTCTCATCAAATATCTGATGTCTCTGAAGTTCAGATGACCTAGTCGATAATGCCATATCTATTCATCTCTGCTAGCTGCAGTCAAAAGGAACTTGTGCTCCATCACATTTAGTTCGATCTTGAAGGTTCGATTCTGAGACGTAGGAGCCTTCAAGATTAATCTTCCATTTGCATCGATGACTCTCATCATCTTATCTTTGATCGACACTTTATAATTCTTTTCGACCAACTGCCCTGTATTGAGCAAATTTCTCTTCATACCTGGTATGTACAATAAATTAGAAATTACTGACCTCTTGCCATCTTTCTTCATAATCACAACATCACCAATACCTTCAGCTGCTAGGGTATTGTCATTTGCGAATTTTACCATATTTTTCATTGAGGGCTTTATGTTCACAAACCAGTCTTTCCTTCCACACATATGTGATGAGCATCCTGAATCCAAGTACCATTGGTCCTTGAATCTACATCTCTTGTTGTGACCATCATCATCATCTCTTCTTCTTCATGTTTTGCAAACTTTGTATCACTCGAATAGTGATCATACTTCTGACAATTGTAACATTGAATATGACTCTTGTCAGGTTTTTGACTACCACATCTTCCTCTATTTTCAACACCACCTCTTTGGTTTCCTTGGTATGATCTTTTCTGATTCGACGCGTTTCCTTCGTTCTGATTTCCTCTACCAGTCGGTTTGTTATAGCCGCCTCTACCTTTGTCGAACCAGTTTCCTTTGCCTTTGATTTCTTTTGCTAAATATGCCTACAAAGCCACATCACTCTTCGACTTTCCTAAACCTCTTTTAGTCATTCTTTGTTCATGAGATTCAAGTGTCCCTTGAAGATCTTCCTTTGTCAATTTCGAAAATTCTTTTCCCTCTTCTATAGCCACCACCATGTGGTCGAACTTAGGAGTCAAAGATCTCAAGATCTTCGAAACAACAGCTTTTGTTGTTAATGTTTCTCCACATACCTTGATTTGATTCACTAGTTTTGTAACTCTAGTGAAGAAATCAGATATGCTCTCGCTATCTTCCATCTGAAGCAATTCATACATTCTCTTGTGAGTTTGTAATCTCACTTCTTTCACCTTTTCTGCACCACTAAAAGACTTCTCAAGAACCTCCCAAACTTCTTTTGCAGATTCTGAATCACTCACTTTTTCAAACTTTTATGGACTCATACATTGATGAATTATAAAGAGTGATTTATAACTTAACTTCTCAGATTCTGTGTGTTTCCTATTTTCTTCTTCTGAAGCATTTTCTCCAAGCGTTTCCAATCCATCCTTTACAAGATCCCAAAAACCTTGACACCTGAATAAAACTTTCATCTGTTTACACCAATTCTCATAGTTGTCTACTTTAAGAATTGGTAGAGTTGCTGGATAATTTTCATTCCCATAATTCGTCATCGTGAATTTCTACCAATCTTTATGAACAAGATTGATATCACCATACAATGACAATGAATTATGAGAAAAGAAGAGAAAGAAAGAAGACAATTATTTTTCTGCAGAGTTTCTCTCTTCTCACAGACTGTAGAAAACTTTGTTATTCATTTGCAACTGCAAATTCTGTGAATACAACTTAATTGACTTGATTACAAAATTAGGGGTTACTCCTTCTATTTATAGATTTAGCTGGCTTCCTAAGTCCAAAACTATAAAAACCTAAAATACATATTTTGGTACTAAATCAAATCTATTCTATTTTAGACTTAAATCAAATCTATCTAAATCTAAAACAAATCTAATATGTGTGCAACTTGCTTCGATCCACAAACTCTTCGACTGAGCAATGACTTCCTTCGAACAATCTACTTGATCCACCTCTAAATTCTTCAACACAAATAATTTTAATATTATGAATTACAATTTAACAGATTGAACTTTCTAAGAGTATTAGCATCCTTTTCATCATGATTTAATAGTCACAATATTGAAAACTCTAGACCTAATAAACTCACTTAATATATTGTATTATAATGGAAAAATAATTATAAATACTATTATTTTAGAGTATATTATATTTACGACAATATCATGTTGTTCTAATCTATATTTGAAGTACTATTTTTAACCATTTAAATTAGTGCGATGCCTATAAGCTAAAGTGAGCGGGAAGCATAAAAACATGCATTCGTCGTCACGTATGTAATATGTAATGTTTGCATTGTTGTGCATGTTAATATCTTTATATATGAACGAAAGAGAGAAACAAATAGTATACGTTATAACACGGTGGTATGTGATAAGCAAGTAACACAAAAGAAATAGTAATAGTAATACCTAACATGCCAATACAAGTCCAATCTAAGTCTAAAAAGTTGCTTGCCACTATATTATGTTGGCCTCTAAAAGCTAAAGAGGTTGCAAGAGTTGTAAAGGCATATGCTATTCAAATCACCCAACCAAAAGCCGCACACAACTTTGATCCGTCGGTAACTTGCTTGCCACAAAGACTTTTATCATGCATGGGCCCTCTACTTACCTGTTTTCAATTCTACATCCCAATTGTTAACAATAGTTTTACAATATAATTAATTTTAGGTTTAAATTCTAGTCCTTTTGATAGTACATG